GAAAGAATTTCTACCGGAAATTGACAAACAAGCAGATACGTAACAATATTTGTACATGGACATTTTATGCATTTCGTGTGGAAATGAGTTGATTAGCTGGGATAAAAGAGTATATTCTTCTGAAATAATCTTTTGAAAAATCTCTGACAATAATTTCTTAAACGATAAACTGAATAAAAAAGTGGGTTTTGATAAAATTGATAAGAAAGAAAGAGTTCTGTAGTACTTATATTTTTGAAGTGTACTGAGAAATTTCTGTAAAGCAAATGATGAACTCTTGCGAATTTTACTATATTTAAAAAGTTTTATTTTACCAGAGTGCGCTGCTAACTGTAAACAGCTGCTATGGCTGAGGAAAGGTGAGGAGAATTTGGATTAGCGATTTCATTTAATACATTTCCTTTAGTGCAGTATTTTAAAAATCAAAATGATTAAGTATCAATGATATTTAATTATAAAATTAAGTAGTGGAATGTACAATTTTGTAATTGAAATAGTTTTAGGTGAGATGAATAAACAGTAATAACAGTTTGTCCACGCAGTAATTTGAGAAAAGACCCCAACGGCAGTGATTGTGAAGGACCTGAGGCAGAAAAAGAAAACATTCGGAATCCAGATCTGCAGGTCGAGGCACCGTCGTTATTATCGTCGTTCTGGTGGAGTAGCTGGTACGAAACAGCAAAGTCAAAGGTACTTGTAATTAAAGTTATCGACATTTGTGCTCTTGTTACTATATGCCAACAGCAATACTACACTTAGTACACTATAACTTATTGTACAAGTACAACTACATTTACTGATAGTAGTGATACTATATCACCAGGTAGTACTAGTACAAGTAGTTTTGGAAAGTGTGGAATTGATTATTAATATTAAGAAAACCTGTTAATGATATTATAATTTATTGCATACACCTAAATAATTACAAAAGGTCTGGAACAGAAAATAATTTTCAAGATAAACTCGTTAAGTGAACATAAAGTGAAATCATTATACATAACACGTGAGTTCAAAAATAGTATTTTGTTGATGTAAGCCTAACAATAACCAGTTGAACCTAAATTGTTTCCAGCTTGAAAACAGCAATTTTAACACATTGGTGGGTTTTTTGTAGTTATCCTTTAGACAAGAACATTTTCAGTAATAAAATTTAAACCTGATTATGACACAGAAAATACTGAAGATCGGCTAAACAAATTCAGTAAAGTTGTTTGAAGTTTTGGAGATGATCATGGTATTATTTTTCTCCAGTAGCAACTTGAAATTCAATGGAAAACTTAACTGCTTATCACTCAGCAAATGTTTCATCTATTATATTACATTTTATTTAATTCTGAATGAACATTTGTCATTAGGAAATGTAATAATATTAATGCCATTAGGTAAGGAACACTATCATGCTGATTGTTTCAATGTTTATAAATACTTTCATTTAAAGGACTAATCTTTTATTTTTGTGCTAAGTTCTCTTACAGTATATCTTATATAACAAGAGTTTTTTCCTTTTTTTATATTCTGTTGTAAAATTGTAAAAATATTTATATTCTCAATTAAAGTTTCAAAACAGTTTTGACAGAAGTTTATGGATATGCAAAGTTTTCAACTCTTAAACTTTCTTTACTTTTCTCATGAACATAAAATGCTAACCAGAATAAGGAGTAAAAATGTCACAGGCCAGCACTCAAAGTAGTAACTGTCTTGGACAACAATAAACATTATTTCATTCACCTACAGATGACATCTTTTTGTAATATTATTATTAAAATATGCTCAGTTGATGGACAAAGAATAGTTATTATTCTATTATGGTAGGTGGATACATTGATGTCTATGGTTTAGAAAACGGAATAGCTTAGATGTGACTTCATGGGGAGGGAAAGCCAAGAAATCATCTTGTTGGAAATCAAGTTGTTCAGCCTGCACTGAGAAAGTTAAATCTTTCTTGCCATGTCAGAGATGAATATTTTAGTCTTTCCATTAGTCCTGAATCAGTCTGCAGTCATTTTATAGGCAGCACGATCTGTGAACACTGTGAATTCTTTGCCATTCAGGTACATCAGCTCAGGCAATAGCTAAACATACTAATTCTGTTATCATATATTGCCTTTCAGCTGAATGGAATGCTCTGCTTAAACAAGCAATTACATCTCTTTGACACAGGTTCACAACTAGTCCAGTTTTGTTGAAATGTGTTTGTGGATAATAATGTTCACCTCTTTGAAGAAGTTATAATATTGAAGCTTCAATTTTAGGAAAACATCTTAATTACCACTCTTGAATCCAATTCCATTTTTGTACTTCTTTTTTTTTTGTAATTGATATAAAGGCTAAATAAAAAGTTTTCCTTGATCTTGAAAATGAGTTAGTTCACATGATATAGCAAAAAAGAATTATTGCTCAAAACACCTTTTATTCCCTCTAGTAGTGTACTTATAAGCCTTTGTAAAGTAGCTGTAGAATTTTGTTATCCTAAACTCATAACTTTGAATTGGTGGAGGCTATCATTTGTAATAAATTCAGCTTATTGTCTGTTGTCAGGTTTTAATGGGATTTGCCAGTAATGAGATGAGAAATCTAGATCTAATTTATTTTGCATTTGCCAGTGCATTTAATGGGTCACTAATAACTGGTAATGAGAACATATCTGTTGATGTCACTTGTTCAATTTTCTGTAATCTACACTAACTCTGAAGAAATATTTTCTTCATTATAACTACTATGACTGTATGACATACTATATAACCTTTCAGTCGCAGTGTTTTGTTTGGCCAGATTTGTCAATCCTAATATGTTACTAAAATACTAAATATTTCATTAGAAAGTTTCATTAATTTCTAAGTTTCATTATCTCTAAAAATCAGGTACTTATAACTTCTTAAGTATGCTTTTCTTTTTAGGACTTTTATGAGAAATATTCATATGAATAGTATAATTCAGAATTTTGAAAGATACTTCCATTTTGATATATAAGATCTAGCCTGAGCAAAACTGACACATAAGATTATTCCAAACAAAAAGTGATTGTAGCACAGTGATATTTCCTAAAGGGTTACTATTAGTTGGGCCAATGGCAAGGAATATTTTCTTTTTTACCATCTCAATAACTTGGGATTTAAATTTCTTTTCTTGATGTCTAACCACATTTTTCATATACCAAAGAATGGTTAAATCCAATATCTATATGCCCAGTGACATCCACAGCTTATATTTCTACTGCAGTGTTTAGCAAGTATATTTGTGTGGATGTTATCCCTTTCGAGAAGGGTCACAGGTGAAAGGCCATGTCATCTTGTGTGTTGACTCACATTCATAATTTTATTGCACTACTATTTCATGAATTTATGTCAATAAGTTTGGTATCAAACTGTAGATTATAATTCAAATTTTAGAACTATACATTACTCAGTTTGTTAATTTAAAAGTAAATATTAAAAAAACACAGATAAACATCGATTTTGTGTGTTGTGTGGTATGTTGAATACAGCACTGGTTCAAATTAGATGTTTGTGAAGTCAAAATACTAAGTCTATAGTTTTATATGAATTAGAAACTCAAATCACAGATATTGACAAGCTAGAATATAAAATAAGAAGGCCTTATCTTTTCTATTTGCTAAGATATTGCTCACGTAATAAATCACATACAGTGGCACCCTGCTCACCTGTTTCCAATTTTGGAAACAGTCCATTATATACTATGACATGAATAACCAATTGGAAGCTCAGAATGTCCCCCTAGTGGTTTTCTCAGCCTTGCTAACATTCCTTTTGCAATTGCTTTTTTTTTTAATCAAGACTTCAATGAGGTAGGTTGTGTCTTTAGTCTGCTCGAAATTTCATATTTTTTTAGACCCAAATACAGCTTAGTTACTAAACTTGATAAATTATAGTAGAATTCTATGGTATTGAAGTTGTAACTTATGATTTTTTAGTTATTAAAAAATATATATAAAATGTAAAAAAAAATATTTTGTTTCATATCCTCCATGTGCAAAATTTTTAAAGGCTTAGCAACCGAGTACAAAGGTC